TGAGGCGGGTGGATCACTCAAGGTCAGGAGTTTGAAACCAGCCTGAACAAGAGCGAGACCCCATCTCTACTAAAAATAGAAAGAAATTAATTGGCCAACTAAAAATATATAGAAAAAATTAGCCAGGCATGGTGGTACGTGCCTGTAGTCCCAGCTACTCAGGAGGCTGAGGCAGAAGGATTGCTTGAGCCCAAGAGTGTGAGGTTGCTGTGAGCGAGGCTGACACGACGGCACTCTAGCCAGGGCAATAGAGTGAGACTCTGTCTCAAAAAAGAAAGAAAGAAAAAAACCCAAACAAACAAAGCTTTGTGACGAGAGGTTTGGGTAAGTTGTTTTGTCTTAGTTTTCTCATTTGTATAATGGAAATAGTATCTACTTCATAGAATTGTGAGGATTAAATGAGATGATGTAAATTAAGCACATATCACAAGTCTTGACACAAAGTACTCAAAATATTTAGCAATAATTAATTACTCATCTATTATTCTATGTAGCACACCTCTACTGCTTCAAGTTTTAACACTGTAATATGGTTTCATGTGTAGTTGCCCCTTAAAAGTGTAATCAATCTCCTTGAAAGCAGCAGCCACATATCACTCATCTTGTATTTTAGCATAGTGCCTGGCATATTGTGGGTACTTATTAAATAATTGAACTTGGCTGTTTAAATACTACCCATCTTTCAAGGCCTAGTTCAATGTCCATTTCATCTACTAATATTCACCTGATGAGTCTAGTTGGATTTCCCCTTCTTAGAATTCTACTGCCTAATCATATGCTGTCTTGTGTTATAATATATATAAATTGTATAATGAGGCTACAAGTTCCTCTAGGAAAGAAATCATCTTACATTGTTTATCTGCCCAACAACAGCTAATATGTCCAATCACAAAGTAAGTTTTCGGCAATTACTTGTGAACTAAAATATTGCTGCCCAAGCATGGAGGTCCCACCCTATCTTTACTAGTAAGTCATCTGTCTCAAATAAAATTCAGCTAACAACTCACCTCCTGACATTCCTTCCCTTAGCTCTTGGAAATCTGCTTAGAACTACATCCCTGCGTAGAATAAATCTTCCCCTTCTTTTTAACCTCCCTCAAAGCCCAGTAGAGGGCACTATAAAGGAAAGGGCTGCTTGTGGGGTCCTTCCAGCCTGCTGTAGATATCTTCAATGGCAACTCTCCAAGTTATTTTTTTTGTCTGCCTTTTCTATGCCTGGGGCACACCAAAGTAAAATAAAGGCTGTTGGGCAGTAATGGTAACTTCATCCCTACCATCCAGCATTTCAGATGTCTCAGCTGAGAGGCTTTTCAGTACAATCATCACCCAGCCATATGGGAGGAATGGAAGAACCCTTGACTCAAGTCTTTGGGATAAAGATTTTGGAAAACACTTAGCTAAAATAATGAGCAGGAATAGCTATTTGAAGCACTGCAGGATCAGTTTGCTTTGGTTGCCTAGCCCTATAGTATGGGAGTAAAAAAGGAATAGCAAGTTTTAAACTGAAATACAGACAGCCACAAACATTTCTTGGCACTCCAGGATTCCTAAGGCCACAGCTTAAAATTAAAGACCAGGTAAGCCAGAAATAGTGGGGAAAGGATCATATAAAGCCTAGATACTGCTGACTCGAGCTCTTCAGCTAACTATCTTTGCCACCTTACAAGTACCTTATCTCTATACCTTAACTTCTTCACCTGTATTAAAATGAAATTGCATTAACTGAGTGATCCCACATTCAGCCTCACTGCCCTCTTTCCCCAGCCATATCCAGCTGGCAGATATAAACCAGGGATAACATGCTCAGAAGTCATGAGATTGGCTCAAGGTGAGCAAGGATGAGAAGGCTTCCTAACCCTACCATAATAAACACCATTAATTTATGTCCCCGGATTATACAGCTTTGAGTTTTTACCTGTTATTTGAACTTTTTTCACATATTATTTTGTTCCAGCTAGACAATAAACTCCATAAAGATAGGGAATGCCAGCCATGTGCGGTGGCTCACACCTGTAATCCTAGCACTCTGGGAGGCCAAGGCAGGTGGATCACTCAGGGTCAGGAGTTCGAAACCAGCCTGAGCAAGAGTGAGACCCCGTCTCTACTAAAAATAGAAAGAAATTAATTGGCCAACTAAAAATGTATAGAAAAAATTAGCCAGGCATGGTTGCGCATGCCTGTAGTCCCAGCTATTCGGGAGGCTGAGGAAGAAGGATTGCTTAAGCTCAGGAGTTTGAGGTTGCTGTGAGCTAGGCTGATGCCACAGCATTCTAGCCTAGGCAACTGAGTGGGACTTTGTCTCAAAAAAAAAAAAAAAGATAAGGAATGCCTTTCTTTACTATAGCTCCATACTACTTGGCTTACTCAATGTCTAGCATGCTGTTCAGAAAGGCAGATGGTTAGGATGCATCACAATCCCCTTGCTAAACCAGAAGAGAACAAACCTATAACATCCAGCGTAGCTGAAAATTTATTTGGAAAATTTCTGGTTAAGGAGAGGAAAAAAAATGAGTCAAGATACTGAGCATAACATTCCTTCCCCAGTTTAGAGGGTACTTTCTTCCCCTTAGTATGATGGGGATTTCTCTGGAATATCTATGTTTCCTGCATTTATCTTCCTTGAAGCATACTCATTTGAGAAGTCAATCATGTTTCAGAACATACCATGATCAACTCTCCTAATCAAAGTCAGGCAAAATGGGCAAGTTGCTACAATCTACCAAGTGTGAATGTTGCAAGGGTTGGGGTTAGGAGGAGGTACAGAGCAGCATGAATTTGTTTCTCCTTTGGTAGTGTTTCTTCTGAACATTACATTCACAAGCAACTTTTTTTTTTTTTTTTTTCCTTTAGCAAGATCCTAGCACACAAGCAACTTTTAACTCCTTTCTGTGGCAGGTTTCCAGCAATGCAGATTGGGATATCATGAGGAAAGAGATTACCCTGCCTCCTGCTGGCCACAAGCAGAAAGGCTTGAGTTTCTTTTAGCTTAATTCTAAGAAATAATAATTTCTTTTGGCACATTATCACATTTCTCCTTCGCAGACATGGGAACTTGAGAAGGAATGGGAGACTGAAAGGGAAAAGGAAGAATGGGCTTCCTTTTTTGTTTAGCCTGGACTAGCTATGTAGGTGACAACCATTTAGATCAAATACCTTCAATCCCTCATTTTTCTGAGCCACAACCTGAGGTGGATGCATCTTCTACATTAGCTACAGAAACAAAGGGATAGACAAAGTTTAGGAAAAGCCCTGGTCTGTATGTCAACATTGCTGCTCCCTCTCCCTAAGTGATGGAATCGGGGAGCCCAGCTGCATCCCACATTAAAGGTCCTTGTGTCCCTTAGAAATTCAGGGCCCCATACCAGCTTCTTCCCTGAACAATGTCTTCAGTATTGTTTTCTTCCCTCTCCCAAACCCCAATAAAACACACCAACTGCTTCAGAGTATTTCTGGGTTGGGTTTTTTTGTGGGTCTTTTTTTGTTTTTTATTTCGAATACTGAAAAAGTCCCTTGGGCTCTGTGGGGCTCCCCATGCTCATGGCTCCTTTCCCCCACACTCACTCCCCTCTCCCCACATCAAATCTGTTTCAAGGACAGCACTTTTTTAAATGAACAATTAACATTAGGTTCTCAGCTAGCTCTACAGAATCAGAGGAGCTGTTTGAATCTGTTGTATGCAGACTGAGTTTCTTTTGTCTGGCACCAGGTCTCCAGCCATATCCAAAGGCATTTATCCACAGAACTGAACTAGAACTCCTTACCTTTACTCCACTTCCTCCCCCTCACACCTATCCTACACCAGTCACAAGGTCAAGGAGGAGGATAGTTAGGAGTGTTTTTATGAACTCCAAGCCCTAATACATATTCTCCCAAATCTCCCACCCCACCTTTTCAACCCCACCCCCAGGATTTCATTGAGATTTCTCCCAACAGTTATTTGGAAAAAAGGCAAAATAAAAAAGGTTCAAGGTCTTGGTGCTCAGCCCAAGGGGCTCCATGCGCTGGGACACCGATGGGCAGGGGCTTCTGCCTCTCCAGCCCGTGCCCAAGCCACCTCCTGACCCCTGGCTGCAAAAGCAGGGAGAGGCAGGAGCCAGCACAGGACCCAGGGGGGCAGCGTCTCAGGATCTGGCGGAGCCCCGGGCAGCATCACTCAACTTGGCCACTGCAGACGAACACAGAAGAAAAAAAGAACACTGTCAAGTAATAGGGGAATAAAACCCCTGAATTCCCAGTTTCTACCCCATAATTCCTCCACATTTAACAATCATTAGACTACCTGGCTCCTATCCATAGAGGAATTGCAAAAAATAAAAAAAGAGAGTGAAAGAGAAGACTTAATTCTTTTCCTTTCTATGAAATAGAATGTTTTCTGCCTTTTTGGAGATAACCATAGAAAACAAACACAAAAAGCCAGGGGCTGGTCTGATGGTAGTGGGTTATCAGAACTTATTAACGTTAGTGTCACTAAAGTTGGTATTCAACCCGCCAGTGCTAAATTTGACTGGCTTTAAAAAGAAATAACTAGAGGCTTCCAGTAAGATAAGCTGCCTGGCTGAGAACAGGCTCAGCTTCAGAGGCACAGTCACAGCTACTCGTAGCAGTGAAGACTGACTGAAGAGCATAGTGAGAAGGTGGTGACTGTGTGGAGGCCAAGGCCAGACCACACACGTGTTGTTTTGAGTGGATTTAATAATCTGGGCTTAATCAAAGCAATATGCACTTGGATTTTGAAATGACCCTTTCTTGCTAAGAAAGCTATGTACTTCATGCTATGGTGACAGGTGACAGACATAGAATGTAGCTTGTTTCTTTGCTTTTTTATCCTTGAAGATGACCAGGTAGGGAGAGCGAGGCCAATAGTTTTTCTGATTTCTCTACTCTTTCACTTCCTTCCTAAAAACCAGACTCATTGTGACCAGTAGTGTTGAGGACTCAAGCGATAGAGAAAGCAGCTCAGACAGAAAAGAAAAAAGTACAGAATTCGAGAAGATCGGAGATGAAGAAAACGTACAAAATTATATATATATTTATATATATAATAACATGACATATCTATGTACACATGGCTGGGACAGTTGAGGAAACTATACAACGATGTTCGGCATTTTCCCCTTCCCACATGGACTTTAGATTAAGGATGACAGCATGAGGAAATGGAGCAAGAAACACAAAAATTATATACAATTACAAGTGACAGTCAAGGAGTTTGGGGGCTAGGGAGTCCAGGGATCCTGCTCTCTCCATTCCTTCCTCACCAACTTTTTCCTATCCAATCTGCATGACAGCCTGAAAACTGGATGGTCAGTCAGGAGAGAAGTATGTACACACCTCATTCCCCCACATGCATATCAGCAACTTTATCAGTCATTCTCATTGGCCCAAATGTTTGGCATATCAGAATTTGTGAGGTGAGAAGGCAAGACAGGATTACAGAATCTTGTTTTTATGAACAAACAGTTCTCACCCTTTGTCTTTGTCTTAACTAGCAGGTTGCATTCACTAAGATTCAGGCCAAGCTGGTGTTAACTAGATTGGAGATGCTGGTCACCTGCAACCCCTTTCCTCTACCTGTTCATGAATCAGCACTGCTACCTCTCCTTATCGCACAAGAGCTGGGTTACTGAGCTCTGGGAAGGAAAAGATTTCTTAGTCTTCCTCCTTTCTCTCCCTAACCACTTTCCCCAGCTTCCTCCAAGGTGAATCATCTCTTAAGAACTTGCTGCTGCAGCCCTATAGTAGTACTAAGCCCCAGGGGCTAGCTCAGTTTATCCCTTCCCTTTTCCTCCTCTTTCCCTAACAATAGGCTTGGCATATGACTACATCTGAAACATGGGTCAACACATGTGCATGACTGAACACGTTTCCGCAGGCCCACAGATCTGCTGCCCTAACAGCTTTTTAGCAGCTAAAGCCCAGATTTAGGCTGGGAAAGTGGGTGGGGTCAGAGGCAAGAGGTTTCCATGGTAGTTTCTTAAAAGTTTTTTCTTGACCCTCAAGACCATGATATCTATGAGGTTCTCTTGCCTAAATTTATAATCCCCCAATCTCAACTTCTTCTCTCCTCATGTAACCCTTAAATGGTTCTCCTCTGTAGTACATTCCCAGTATCACAGGGGCTTACCACCCATGGGCCTTCCTCACTATTAGTTTTTACAATAAACAGCACAGGGTTTTTCTGCTGGCAATTATAGAATTTTAGGATCAGAATCAATTTTACATATATTTAACTCTATTTTACAGATGAGGAAATAGAAATCCAGAGAGGCTAAATGACTCCACCAAGCTTTATATATCCGTTCTGCTGAGACTGAGTGGAACTTGAACCCAGATATCTTGACTCCTAACCCAGTACTCTTTCCACTATTTTCAAAAGCAACCTGCTGGAAGAGAGAGAGAAGGTACCCATATGGATAATGTTCATCAATCTTTACATTATTTGAGACCCAGAGCAAACTGTAAGAGATACTAAGTAAAGGAAGTTAAGTGGGCTTTGTAGTTTTAGGCAAGCAAGTCAGTTTTTCTTTTTGAGGATTCTCTAAACCTGCCAAAATGGAAACATGAAGCAATAGCAGCCTAAGGGACAAAACACTTAGAAGCACAGGAAACATGTCTCATTCAATCTACCTTTCCAAACCATGTCAGGTTAGCCTTGGGATGTTAAACCTGCCAAATTATTCCTAAGGCTCAGCCTAATTAATTTTAGAACATTTTCTTCCAAAAGGAGAAATCACATCTCCCCAGTTTCTCACAAAAGAAAAAGAGTTTGCAGCATTATCCAATCCTAGTCTTTCCTATTTCTGGGCCCTTACCTGAATTACAGTGAGAGTATATAAGTCTCAATTTAACCAAAGAAATGAATTCAGAGCCCCTCTTCAACCCACATTACCTTCTTAGCAGCCCCCAGCAAAATCACAGTCACTTCTGGCTAACAGGCTGAGAAGATCTGACTAGGTGCCCATTCCATCCCTGCCTATGATCTATAAAAGTCCAGTGGGTGAGGAAGGGGAGGAGAGGGGGGCCCAGGTTACCCCGCAAGCTTGCTGGTGACGAGCGAGGACTTTCTCTGGGGCAGATCCTGTGGGGTAGGGATGTGGTCACCAGTCACCAGGTTCTTGTCTGGTCCTGTACTTGGCAGCTGCTTATTCTTCATCTTGGCTTTGGCCATGTTGTAGTCTCCTGAGTCAAAGTATTTTTGCTAAGAGACAAGAGGGAGGTTTAGGTGAGTGAGGAGCTCTGGCCTTCCTCAAAAACAAGAAGACTCACATCTCTCACATCCATCATAAATCCTTACCCACACTCAGATCTTTCAAGATGTCTTCCTTAATTAACCTTATGCATATACAGTTTAACATTAATTACATGTACTTATGTCTTCTCCCCAATATGTTCTGACTTTTTCAGGTATGTAAGCAGTTTCCCAGCTAGAGTATATATTTCTGGAGTCAAGGGACAACCCCTACAAATCCTTTGTACCCTACTCAGTACAAGATGGTTTAACCAAAATTACTTACTTTATTCATAAAGATTACTGAGGACCTTACTAGGTACAAAGCAAAAGCCTCGTACTGGGGAAACAGAAATGAATAAGATATATAGAACACTCACTTTGGAGCTATCCTAGCAATCAGCAGATCAACCTCAAATTTAAAAATTATTCTCCCAGACCAGAAATAGAAACTGGGCTTGTTCAGGAGGATAATGTACTTTCCCTTTGATTCTCACTGCTCCCACACATGTTCCATGACTGTGACAGCCTGCCCACGCCTGCCTTGCCTACAGCAAGGTAAACTGCAAATCAGCATCACACTATTATCATCTGTAACTGAGATTCAGTAACTGGGATCCTCCATGGAGATCTATTTCACTCTCTATTTCATCCACTCCAGTTTGATGATTACAATTCCTCAGTCAGCTTTAGGTACCTCTGAGGACTGAGAAACCTGATCAGGAGTTAGATGGCTATTAAGGTAGGCTCTCCTTTGGTGAAGAGGACCACTCTGGACAAAAAATAAGGTCATTGAAGGATCTTTAGTGGCTGGTACTAACTTCAAAGGTATAAAGAAATCTACATTTCAAGTTGAGGATTTCAATAGGACAGATGGTTTCATCTTTTTCTGAAATGATGCACTCCATATTTTATCTCTAATTCTTAAAATGTACGTAATCCTAAAGCCTCCACCATCCAAACAGGCAAGTGTCTTGGGCACTCTACATTCCAGTCTCTAATATCCTTTCCTCGTTCCCCCATATACTCAAATGCCCCAACATTAAGCCTTAATTTCCTATATGGGAAATCAAAAAGGAACTGATAACATATCAGGGGTTTACAATAATTTGCCTGGCTCATTTCAAGTTTCCAATTCCTCTCTGTTATTTATCAACGAAACCTTCAGAAAAGAATCCAGTAGAACCTCTATAGACTTCATTCCAAGAATCCCCTTTGACTCCAGAAGAAGAAGGTAAGAGATTATGCTTCATACCCCTTTCTGGAGTCTCTTCATGAGGAAGTCGGAGCCTCCAGGCTTTTGTCCTAGGCTTGGATATTTGGCCTTTAGCTTTGCCTCCTCAGCTCTCTCAGGGAGAATACCTTCTTTCTCCTGCGTGTCCTGGAGGAAACAAATGAGCCAAATAAAATTAAAGACTGATAAACAAATGCTTCTAATATCTGATAACCCTTATGCTATTAACTTTTCCTGGAGATCCACCCACTTGTAAATATGCTATCTCTACTCTGCTGTTAAAGCTAGACCTTAGTTCAAATCCCTAAAGCTCAAGATGACTGTATTGTGAGAAGAAAAAGATACGCTGCTTCTCATACTCCACCCAAGGAACTACCGCAGTGACCTGTAAGTACTGGGTTAAAGGTAATACCTAAACAGAATACTTTAATCACAGAGCAGGCCATAGCTCACTTAGCACAGATGCTAGCACAAGAGCTAGCCAGGACTTCTGGTGAGTAGGAGGGTTCCCTAGCTTGTCCTACAAGTTAAATTGGAAATCAAAATCAAAGGGAATAAGTTTGCTAAATATTTCCTCCTTATTCAGAGTTGAAGATAGCCATCTGGCAAGTCTCCCTGTGGAGGAGGCTAGCTAGCTATGTGGCCTTTCCCAAAAATCTCTACCTGAGTAATGACACAACACTGCTTCAAAATGTCCATAAATACTGTGGTAGGAAGGTGATCAGTAAATAGATGAAAATGACACTGTTTTTTTTTTTTTTTTTTTTTTTTGAGACAGAGTCTCACTTTGTTGCCCAGGCTAGAGTGAGTGCCGTGGCGTCAGCCTGGCTCACAGCAACCTCAATCTCCTGGGCTCAGCGATCCTACTGCCTCAGCCTCCCGAGTAGCTGGGACTACAGGCATGCGCCACCATGCCCGGCTAATTTTTTCTATATATATTTTTAGTTGGTCAATTAATTTATTTCTATTTTTGGTAGAGACGGGGTCTCGCTCAGGCTGGTTTCGAACTCCTGACCTTGAGCAATCCGCCCGCCTCGGCCTCCCAAAGTGCTAGGATTACAGGCGTGAGCCACCGCGCCCGGCCAATGACACTGTTTTTAACTAAGGAAAATAAAGATACAGTAAGTTCACTAGTTTTTACTCACCAGATTTAAGCAAAATATCAATACCTATTCTAATGGGGCAAGTGATGGAAGCTTGGGGAAATGCCAAAAGCTCAAATGGCTTGCAGAGGTTCTCACTACTGTCAATCTCTTCTTGCTTTTTGTGGGTCCTGTTGCCCTTTTCATTAGCAGCTTTCTTTTTTTTCCCTTTCTTTCTTTTTTTAGAGACAGGGTCTTGCTCTGCCACCCAGGCTGGAGTGCAGTGGTGTGATCATAGCTCACTGCAGCCTCCAACTCCTGGCCTCAAGCCATCCTCCCACTTCAGCCTGGGTAAGTGCTGGGATTACAGGCGTTGAGCCACCACACCTGGCCTTTCAGTGACTTTTTGAAAGGACCTGAAGTCAATGTGTGACTCTTTTAGTGGAATTACATCTCCTTCCCTTGAAAATCAGGCATAGACATAACACTACATGTATTTCATGAGTCCTTGAGCCCAGTACTAAATTTTAGAAGTCAAATACAAACCCTAAGAAGAGGTTTATTTGGCATTAGTGTTTTCATCACAGAACTATGGGTGGACTAAGTCCCACTGCCTTGGAACTCTGGGGGAAGAGGGTGGTGTCTTTCTTGTCACGACTCTGTCGACATCTTTTCTAGGTTTAATCTCTACTATTCTGTTTGGAACTGTAGTCGTCTTTAATCTTGAGTCCTTACTGAAGGTGAGCAACAGACCATCCCCCAACTATCAAAATAGGTCTCTTGAGAAAGTTACTGCCTTAAACTAGCCATGATAATAATTATTACTCTCCCCTCCCCCAGTGCTGGTCCTTCTTAAACTGCTTTACCTCGACCAGTATCTTTCCGCGGATAGAGGATGCAGGCCTCAGCCTGGTTATTAGGCCATTCACCTCTACTACCCAGTAACACACATCGTTTCCAGGACCACCAGCCCCCTTCCATTCACTCGAACACCCGCCCCACGTCCAAGACCGTCCAATTATAGCACAGCTTCCATGGTTTGAGCTATAGGCATATTGGCCAATCAGAAAGGTACTGTACTGAGCGACAATCAACCTAACTAACCAGCAACCAAAGCAGCAGGCCCTGTTGAAGCTCACCCTGCGTGACGCAAGACGTGGCCAACCCCTGCAGAGCCTGAGACCATGGCGACCAATCCGCACGGGTGGGAGACCGTCTCCCGCCCCATCTCGGTCGCCCCCTGCTCGCCCGCCGGCACCCCCTCCATTTCACCTGTTTCTCCTCGCCGGTCTCCTCCGCAGGGTTCTCTTCGTCTTGTTTCTGGGACATGGCAGGACCGGGACTGTGGAGTGTAGGGGTCCCGGGAAGTCAGCCGGAGAAGGGAAGGGGGAGGGGAAACGGGGACAACCTGCGCTGCTGCTTCGGCTCCTGTCACTAGGGTTGCTCAGTCAAAATGGCGGCCGTTGCCTGTGACGTTGTGACCGCCCCTTCCTATGGGAGCCAATGGGAGTGGGGTTGATAGGGCAATGACGTAACGATCTACCAATAGTCGCTGGCTAAAGGTGGGTTCTATGTAGGCGACCGGCAAGCTGGAACACCAACCTGGGAAGAGAGTGAGCCATAAGGACCAATTGGAGGCCTGTGGGGGATCTCAGGGGCGGGGCTGCTAGCTTTGGCATTTTTGCTTTTTGGTGGGCTTGGACTTCTATGAGCCTCATCGCCAGGCGCTCAGGAGGCTTTGTAGAGCGTCAAGCTGGAGAGAGAAAGGATGTAAACCTTTTATTCTCAGGTGGAAAGGATTAAGCTTTGCAAAATGTTAGCAGTAAAATATCGATCTCCAGAAAATAACTTGGAGATTAGATTGGACTTTTAAATGGTACTGAACAGAATTACGATGTGTCACTTTATGTGACAAATGGAGAGATTAAGTCCCAACCCGAGTTGTCTTGCAGAACACTAAATGGCTTAATGGCTTACGTTCCATAGTTTAACTCTTATGTACAGTTTTATACTCGTTCAGAGTCATTCGAGGGGCTAAGCTCCTCGAAACAGGGAGCACATTCTAGGTACGTTGTACACATTTAATAAATGTAGTTAATGCTAGTTAACCTATCCAGAATCACAGTTCAACAATATTTCACTTGAGCATCTGTCTGTACATGGTATCGTATCAGTTTTACAGGGGATGCATATATAGTAAGGCAGACTCAAATTTTTTTTATTTTTTAATTTTTTTTGAGACAGAGTCTCACTCTGTCGCCCCCTGAGGTTAGAGTGCCGAGGCGTCAGCCTAGCTTACAGCAACCTTAAACTCCTGGGCTCAAGCAATCCTTCTGCCTCAGCTTCCGGAGTAGCTGGGACTACAGGCATGTGCCGCCATGCCCGGCTAATTTTTTCTATGTATTTTTAGTTGGCCAAATAATTTCTTTCTATTTTTAGTAGAGCTGGGGTCTTGCTCTTGCTCAGGCTGGTCTCAAACTCCTGAGCTCAAACGATCCTCCCAGAGTGCTTGGATTACAGGCGTGAGCCACCATGTCTGGACAAGGCAGACTCAATTTAATAGTCTTTACTTGTGGAAAGCTTACAGTCTAGTCAGGGTTTGGAGAGGAAGAACTTTCTCAGTGTGCCATGCGTACCATAAGTCCCCAAGATTAAACTGACACATCTTCCTGGAGTGTTAGTCAAAAAGTGTGGTATATTTATATTAAAAACAAACATTGATCTACTACTAACAACACTGCAAATTTAACATTAAATTTTAATTTTTTAGGCAGCTTCTTGTGACAGCCTTGGGGCTAACCGTTCATTTTTTTCTGTATAATTAGGTGCATTTCTAATGGAAAAAATTGAGAAGCACTACCTTATCATCATACAAAGCAAAATACGGTAAGCATCTATATAATATAAAAGTGTTAATATAGTGATGTGGGATTCAAAGGAGGCTCACATTCAGTGTAGGTCCTGGGAGAGGGGGGTTCTGGGGTGCTATTAATGTTCTGTTTCTTAATCTGGGTGCTGGCTACGTGGGTATGTTCATTATTCATTGACTTGTATATTTTATTTTGATTTATGCACTTTCCTCTGATTATGTTATAGTTTTTCCCCCACCCCAACTTCATGACTATGTTATAGTTCCATATAAAGTTTAAAAAGAAAAGGTATCTAATGTGAAGAGTAGGCTAAAATAGAGAAATGAAAGACTGAATTAAAAGGAGAACAAGCCATCTCGTTTAAAAAATGTCTTGTATTACCTTGAACATTTTAAAAAAGTATTTGTTTAGTCTTTTAAATGTTCACAATGTTCTTAAGAATCCAGTCAGCTATTCTGTCACCTTCTCTCTTCTCCAGTCTTCCCCCTCTTCAATCATAACCATCTCTTCTTCCCTGCTCTCCAAAAAAGAAAAAAATCTAATTTGGATTAACACAAATCAGTTTAACCTAACTTATCTAAGACATATTTGTCCTCTACCTGGGAGTTTAAGAAAAGCTGGGGATACACGTTTTGTTTTTATTACTAGTAAGGCTAACCTACTGTGTGATATAATGGCTTTAAATATCCAGAAATCTTTAAAAGTTCATCTTCAGATCGAGGGAAAAATTTCAACACCTCTGAAATATGAGAAAAATTTTGGCTTTGAATTTTTTCCCATTAAATCAGGAAAATAATGTATAACTATTGGATTTAGTCAGGAAGCCCTTCTGAAGGAGTAGAAGCCCCCTGATTCCCAGGTACATTTCTAAAGAAAGTTCAGATAAAATATGCTGTTATACTTTGGGAGGTTCAATTAGGTTAAGAAAAACAAAGTAGACCAGGCACGGTGGCTCACACCTGTAATCCTAGCTCTCTGGGAGGCCGAGGCAGGCCGATAGCTCGAGGTCAGGAGTTCAAAACCAGCCTGAGCAAGAGCGAGACCCCGTCTCTACTATAAATAAAAAGAAATTAATTGGCCAACTAATATATATAGAAAAAATTAGCTGGGCATGGTGGCGCATGCCTGTAGTCCCAGCTACTCGGGAGGCTGAGGCAGAAGGATTGCTTGAGCCCAGGAGTTTGAGGTTGCTGTGAGCTAGGCTGATGCCACAGCACTCACTGTAGCCTGGGCAACAAAGTGAGACTCTGTCTCAAAAAAGAGAAGAAGGAGATTTCTGGCCAAGCGCGGTGGCTCACACCTATAATCCTAGCACTCTGGGACGCCGAGGCTGGCTGATTGCTCGAGGTCAGGAGTTCGGAACCAGCCTGAGCAAGAGTGAGACCCCCGTCTCTACTATCAATAGAAAGAAATTAATTGGCCAACTAAAATATATAGAAAAATTTAGCCGGGCATGGTGGCGCATGCATGTAGTCCCAGCTACTTGGGAGGCTGAGGCAGAAGGATTGCTTGAGCCCAGGAGATTGAGGTTGCTGTGAGTTAGGCTGACGCCCGGGCACTCTAGCCCAGGCAACAGAGTGAAACTCTGTATCAAAAAAAAAGAAAAAGGAGATTTCTGACAGAAGTGACTCTCACTTTGTGTATTGTATTCATGAAAATTTTACTACTTTCTGGGAGAGATGGCTCCCTCAATTATCAATAAAAAGTTGTGTTTGGTCTGTCTCTTTCCAAATTAGTTAGATAACTTGGAACTCACATACAAAAAATGACAGCCAAGGCCTTGAAAAGAATTTGGGACACAGAAATAAAGATGCATATATACATGTAACAGATAATAGTAATATATCAAAAAGCAGTATAACTTATTTCAGCATTAAAGCAATTACTTTTATTCTTTAGGGAGTAAAACACATTTTTAGAAATCATATGAATAATATACTATGGGCATTTTAGCTTTGTGAAAAGGGGGAAAACAAATTTTTATCTGTTAGGATCTTCTTTATAGTTTTCTTAAAATTTGATGTCAGAAAGCATGCACGGGAGCCTGCGGAACTGCAACCATGCCACCAAAACCCTCAATAGGGGCATCTCTGAGTTCACTGTGATGGCTGTAGATCAGCCGCTGGGGATCATTCTGCACCTCCCACTGCTGTGTGAAGACAAGAATGTGCCCTTCAAGCAGGCCCTGGAGTGGACCTGTGGGATCTCCAGGCCTGTCATTGCCTGTTCTGTCACTATCAAAGAAGGCTCACAGTGGAAGCAGCAGATCCAGTCCATTCAGCAGGCTACCGAAACGCTCTTAGTCTAAACCTGTGGCCTCTGCCACATTCTCCCTGCAGACTCCTCCTCCTGAGGTGGTGTATCATATTGTCTGTGTTAGCATGTATTATTTTCAGCTACATTCTATTGTTATAAAATACTATAGGGCTACATTTGGTTTCTGGATTTTTCCATTGTTTTTGTTCTGTTTCATAGAGTTGTTTTCTCCCTTCTAAGCTCTTCTACACTAGCTCTGCCATCCTTCATCCTTTTATCCTCCCTTTTGAAAAATGAACTGATGCTCAGAACAGATGGAAGCAGAGTGGTGGCAACATTCAAAGGCAGGAAGAGCCAGGAGAAACCTGATGGAACCAGGATAGATACATGGTTCTAGTTCTCACCTGCTAACTTCCTACTGTGTGCAGGATATGATGGAAGTAAACACCATCCATTTTGTATCCCTTGTGCCTGACATATAGAATCATTCATATGGCTTAAAATAGTCAAGGAGTATTCTTTGCTTTCAAGGGGATTATGTATCATTTGGAGAGGAAGCATGTGTTCTGTGAGGTTAGGCTATGTCCAAGTGTCCTTTACAAATGTACCCTATTTGCTTTTGGCAATAATGATGTTTTGTTCTTTCCCTCTCTGACCACTAACTGTACCCCTGCATGTGGCAGGGCAGCAATATACCAAAGAGATGTGCTGCAGGATTCTAGAGTTGTCCTGGGTGAGACATGGGACCTTGACCTGCATCTTGAAAGAGGAGTGTCAAGGGCAGAGAGCATCATCTGATGCTGGAACAAAGGATTCTGGAGTCTAAGGAAACAACTTCTCTTTGGGGAATGGGGATTTCTTCAGTGCACACTTGGCCCAAGTCTGAGAGCCCTTACCCCTGTTGCCTGCCACAATTGGGTCAGATGTATTATTATTTTTTTTGAGACAGAGTCTCACTTTGTTGCCCAGGCTACAGTGAGTGCAGGGGTGTCAGCCTAGCTCACAGCAACCTCAAACTCCTGGGCTCAAGCAATCCTACTGCCTCAGCCTCCCAAGTAGCTGGGACTACAGGCATGCACCACCATGCCAGCTAATTTTTTCTATATATATTAGTTGGCCAATTAATTTCTTTCTATTTATAGTAAAGACGGGTCTGGCTTTTGCTCAGGCTGGTTTCCAACTCCTGACCTTGAGTAATCTGCCCTCCTCGGCCTCCCAGAGAGCTAGGATTACAGGTGTGAGCCACCGCACCCAGCCAGATGATATTCTTTATCACATAAGAGTGCTACTATGTCCTTCATTCTTGTGAACATTCTAATAAAGAAATATATTCATATTCCAATTAAAAAAAAGCATGCATGTATGTATGCAAGAGAGTAGAGTGAAATATATGAAGTATTGTAAAACAAAAACATCCACCAACCTAGAGGATTCTGTATCTAGTGACATTATCCTTCAAAAGTGAAGGATATATAAAGACTTTCTCAGACAAAAACTGAGAAAATTCATGTCCAACAGACTTACCCTGTAAGAAATGGTAAAAGAAGTTATTAAGGGAGAAGGATCATGTCACTTTTTTCTTACCAAAAAAAAAAAAAAAAGGGAGAAGGAAAGCATGTCAGAAACTCAGTTCTTCCCTTAGAGTACTAACCAGGCCCAATCCTGCTTAGCTTCTGAGATCAGATGAGATGAGGCATGTTCAGGGTGGTGTGATCATAAATGGAAACTCAGTTCTATACAAAGAAAAGCATCAGAGAGGAATAAGTGAAGGCAAACAAACAAAAAAGATTCGCCAGTGTCAAAAACCTGTTTAGTCTACAATTTGAATATACCCTTAGAATACTTTCTGAAAATATGTGAAAAGTATACACATTCATTAAATCTAGGACATTAGCAATTATTTTGTACATATTGTTTCCCCTGCCTGGAGTACCCGTGACTGTTCCTTCTCAACCTGAAAAGATTTAAGACTAAGTTCAAAAGTTCAAATGGAAGCACGGGAATGTAGCGGTTAAAAGCTTGTATTTGAACTCAAGCTCTGCTCTGTGTCCTCCTCAGGCAGCCTCATTACCTCTGAGTTTCCTTCAAAAGAACATTTTTTAGTGTTGTGAGGAATAAATGAGATAACATATAAAGTAGCATAGTACCTCACTACAAAGGTGCTCAATAGATGATAGTCTCATAAAGAAATATAATTCCTCAAAGTCTTCTCCAACAATCCCAGGAAGAATGCTATTTCTTTCTTGGGGCGTCCAAATACTAAGTTAATACTTCTATTTGAGCATTTATCACAAGGTATCTTATTTTCCCATTTAAATGTGCATTCTTAGTCCAGGCACGATGGCTCAAGCTTTCAATCATAGCACGTTGACAGGCTGAGGTGTGAGGATCGCTTAAGACCAGGAGTTGGTGAGCAACATAGCAAGACCCTGTCTCTAAAACAATTAGCTGGGCATGGTGGCAGTCACCTGTAGTCCCAGCTACTCTGGAGGCTAAGGAAGGGGGATCATTTGAACCCAGGTGTTTGAGGTTGCAGTGAGCCATGATGATGCCACTACATTCTAGCCCGGGGAATACAGTAAGACCCTGTCTGGAAAAAAAAAAAAGTGCATTCTTGGAAGCTGGAATGAATTGTGTTCTATACAACTTTTTATTGTCAGCATGTAGCAAGTGCCAGTCAATTTGTAAGTACTCAATATTTTTTTGATGAATGAATTATAGGCAATAAGGTATGGAGTGGTTTACTCAAATTTTAACATGGAAGCTTTTAGAGAGTTTGTTTAAAATGCAGCTTCCTAAGCCCCTAACTCCTAAGACTGATCTCCTAGGAACCTGTATTTTAGCAAGGTACCTTCCCCACCACACACAGGCACAATTTTGGTGCAATGGTTTTTGCAACACACTTTGAGAAACATTGTATAAAGCATGACTTATTGAACAGTGCTTTGTCTTTTTTTTTTTTTTTTTGAGACAGAGTCTTGCTTCGTTGCCCAGGCTAGAGTGAGTGCCGCGGCGTCAGCCTAGCTCACAGCAACCTCAAACTCCTGGGCTTAAGCAATCCTGCTGCCTCAGCCTCCGAGTATCTGGGACTATAGGCATGCGCCACCATGCCCGGCTAATTTTTTATATATATATTAGTTGGCCAATTAATTTCTATTTATAGTAGAGATGGGGTCTTGCTCTCGCTCAGGCTGGTTTCAAACTCCTGACCTCGAGCAATCCGCCCGCCTCGGCCTCCCAGAGTGCTAGGATTACAGGCTTGAGCCACCTCGCCTGGCCAAAGTTTTTCTATATATATTAGTTGACCAATTAATTTTTTTCTATTTATAGTAGAGACGGGGTCTCACTCTTGCTCAGGCTGGTTTCAAACTCCTGACCTCGAGCAATCCGCCCGCCTCGGCCTCCCAGAGTGCTAGGATTATAGGCGTGAGCCACCACCTGCTTTGTCTTAAAAATATCACGAAGGTATAAATAATCACAGTAAATACATTTCTTACTATCCCTTTTGTTGTAGACATTCTAAAGAAAGGAAGAATAAGCTAATTATAAGCGCAGTTATATTTTTACATGTTAGCTCTGTTGTAGTTCATTATAGCATGTTACCTACATTTGGAATTTAAGACTTCTAACTCCTAAATAAATTCAGGTGTCACTTGTAAGTAGATATTAGTAGGATAGATCATACTTACTCTCTTCATGGTAATAATGGTATTACTGGTTAACTTATTTTGATTGAGATGGAAACACTATTCAAACTTTACATTAGCTGGTGGTCAGCCTTGATGTGCCCTGTCCCCCAGCCTTTACATGTCACAATCATAGTATTTTTGAATCCCTAACTTTCTACATAGGATAAGACAGAGGCGTGTATGCTAGTGTAAATGGGAAGGCATTACTAGTGCTGTGTGGAAAGCTTTTATTCCAATTTAAACAAATGAAGTTACAAAACTATGCACAGAGAGCCAGTAATAGGTCTTTATTATACAGAAATGTGAAGGCTGTATGCATTAAATGAGAAAGTGTTTGGCAGTGAACATTATGTAGATTCAAACTGAAGACATCCTCATCTTACTGAGATATAATATTAATATAAAAATATACACTAAGAGTTGCAAGAAAGAACTCAACTCAACTTCTATCCTCCAATCAAGCTAAAACTTTCCACAGGAAAACCTGGTTTCAATTCATGCTGAATTGTTCAAATGGAAAGAAAAGCTAAGTCAGATAGCGAAAACACGGACTGGCTTCTGTACTTTGAAGAGAGAGCCAGACTGAAGCTCTATTCAGTCTCATATTTAGAATTTGTTTTACATTACAATTTATATTTCTATTCACCTAAGAGATACCTGATGTGGAAAAAAATGTTAACTGAATTAGGGAATTTTTATTGGGCTAAGTAGGTTTGGCAGAGGGGATAAATGAATAATTACTTTGATCAGAAGGACTTGATGTCCAGTCTGGGTCATCTGTATTAGCTCTTGGACAGCCTGTTTGTCTGTAATGGTCAAGAGGCAGTATCCAATTAATGTATAATAAATGCTTGACATTAGCACAATTCAGTGCCTGTCCTCTTTATATCCTTAAATACTGGACTTTATATCAGCATGCTTTTGACACCAAATTCCAAATTAGTTGTCTAAATGGAATCTTCTTTCTATTTTTTTTAGAGATAGGGTCTCACTCAGTTCCCTAGGCTGGAGTGCAGTGGCTCAATCATAGTTCACTGTAACCTCAAATTTAAACAGGATCTTTTTTTTTTTTTTTTTTTTTTTGAGACAGAGTCTCGCTTTGTTGTCCAGGCTAGAGTGAGTGCCGTGGAGTCAGCCTAGCTCACAGCAACCTCAAACTCCTGGGCTCAAGCGATCCTTCTGCCTCAGCCTCCCGAGTAGCTGGGACTACAGGCATGAGCCACCATGCCCGGCTAATTTTTTCTATATATATTAGTTAGCCAATTAATTTCTATTTATAGTTGAGATGGGGTCTTGCTCTTGCTCAGACTGGTTTCGAACTCCTGAGCAATCTGCCCGCCTCGGCTTCCCAGAGTGCTAGGATTACAGGCGTGAGCCACTGCGCCCAGCCTAACCAGGATCTTTCTTAATAAAGCTTCTTGCCCTAACTACTGAAATATAAAATGTTTTAGAGATTTGGTCAGAAAAATTGTTTTATTTTTTTGAGACAAGACTGATGACTAGGGGAGTATGTATGAATTAAATATAGACAAAACTATTCCCAGAACCCTTAAATAAAAACAGAATTTATCAATTTGTGTAGGAAGACAAAAATAGAGAACAAGATGATCTGGAGTTCACATATATACTGATATTCAGCAATTGAAACTTACGATTTCCTCAATTCAATCAGAGCAGAAACATTTAAAGTAGTCTGGAGGAAACAGGACTAAAAGATGTGCTAAAAGATGGAAATTTTTATGTCGTCTCTCCCTTCCTCTCTTACAAATTCTAATGCTGATTGCATGAAGAAGGTGGTTGAGAGATACATTTTTTTCATTTACACTTTTGTCCTAATGAATGAGGGAGCAGAATAATGCTAACAGGGAGTACAGAATGTATTTCTGGCTCTAGGACTGTGAGATCCAGGTAATCAAATTTAGGACATTCTCATTAGGTTAGAAAAGGAAAGATGAAAAAATCACTAGCAGGACATTAGAGACCCTCCTTTCCAAAAATTAGTTTTGTTTCCATTGCCCCTTATTCAAAGAGACAGTTATTTCAATAAGCTACAATATTTAGCAGAGACAAAGGCTGTGAAAACATATATTTAAGATAGAAAACAAACTTAGAAAAATACAATAAATGGTTTGCTCTTCATCTCATTCACATTCTGTGGCTGGAGAACTCCAGATTCCACTTAGATATTCTTGTTTATCCCAAAGCACACTGGATGAAACTAAACCAAGAAATGGGAGAATATGTTTATTGGGTGTGTGTGGGTTCACCCAGTTTATTCCCCTATGGAGTGGAAGTAAAGGGAGAAATCAAATGTGCTTGATTTCATTGTCTATGGAGAAGCCCTGAAGTTGCTCTCCCTAATCAGGAGGCTGATTCAAGAGAAAAAATGATGAAACATATCATCACACAAAACTCAGTGATGGGGTCTCTGACAGTCAACAGCCAGCAGGGGAAAAGGAGAAACCAACCTGCTGGCTTTAGGATTTATTGAAGGCTGCCAGCACAGCCCAGATCATCTCTGTGGCACTGTGCTTTGTCCCCTCCACTTCAGGGTCCAGTTCTACTAGATCCTTGGCTCGATTCATTGCCACATCATACTTGTCATCTGTCAAAGAGGAGAAGACATTCTCTAACACATCAGAGGAGTGGGCTAGCACCAGGAGTGCTAGTGTTCGCTTGTCCATACGCTGAGGGTCATTTACCCACCGCTCTAGTACACTATCTTGAAGTTTTTTCACTAGTCGCTGTTTCTCTGTTATATTGGTCACTGGATGAGTAGTCATGTCAAATAGCAGGAAATTCTGCTTCTCAGTGGTTAGAATACCCTTCTCTACCAGGTTCTTTGCAATTCGCTCTCGTACATTTCTTAGCTGGTATTGTAATTTGAAGGGGTTCCAGGTCTCACCTATGGGAACAAAGAAATGGGACATAATTAACAGAAAGAGAAAAACAAATAAAAAAAGTACTCGTTATCTGGAACTTTGGTTAAAAATTTAAAAAGCATAATCTTCATTCATTCCTTTTCATTTAATCATTTGTTTATCTGGTTTTGACTCCAACCATATTTCATATTAAACCCTTAAAAAAATGTCACTAAGGACTTCCATATTGCTGGAGGTTATGCAGCAAAAACATTTGTTGTTCAGTATTACACAAAAACTTTGTTTTTGTTCTTATATGACCTGTGTGTGACACTGTCAATCATTTTTTTTTTTGAGACATAGTCTTGCTTTGTTGCCCAGGCTAGAGTGAGTGCCATGGCGTCAGCCTAGCTCACAGCAACCTCAAACTCCTGGGCTCAAGCAATCCTGCTGCCTCAGCCTCCCGAGTAGCTGGGACTACAGGCATGCGCCACCATGCCCAGCTGATTTTTTCTATATATATATATTAGTTGGCCAATTAATTTCTTTCTATTTATAGTAGAGACGGGGTCTCGCTCTTGCTCAGGCTGGTTTAGAACTCCTGATCTCGAGCAATCCGCCCGCCTCGGCCTCCCAGAGTGCTAGGATTACAGGCGTGAGCCACCGCGCCCAGCCTGTCAATCATTCTTGTATTTTTGAAATTCTCTTCAGGGCCAGGTGTGGTGGCTCATGCCTGTAATCCTAGCGCTCTGTGAGGCTGAGGCGGGAGGATCATTTGAGCTCAGGAGTTTGAGACTAGCCTGAGCAAGAGTGAGACCCTATCCCTACTAAAAATAGAAAAATTAGACACATGGCACATGCCTGTAGTCCCAGCTACTCGGGAGGCTGAGGCAGGAGGATAGCTTGAGCCCAGGAGTTTGAGGTTGCAGTGAGCTATGATGATACCACTGCACTCTACCCAGGGTGACAGACTAAGACTCTGTCTCAAAATAATAATAATAATAATAATGATAATAATAATAATTCTCTTCAGGACACCAGTGTCTTCTGGATGATTTCTACTTTGTATTATGGAAGTTCCATTTGGGTTGGTGAAGCTGTGAGGACTAAGGTTCCCTTCCCCTACTTGTAGGGCCAAGGCTCTATCCCAGGTCTGGTAGACTGTCAATATTGGGACTCCTGGAATGTTTTCATTCCAGCTTGCTTATAGAGTTGAGGTTCTGCACCAGAAGAAGCAAGGCAAGAAGACCAGTGGTTAACAACCTTTTACCCCTATGCCTATGCAGAGCAGGGAGGGTATCACTCTGGGAGAAGTGGGCTATTGTTCCCAACTCTAGCTCCAGTACAGTGCACAAGTTCTGCCTATGAGGGGAGGCAGGCCTGAAGAATGAAGAGATCCACAGTTCTGCTTGAGGGGACTGACTTTATTTGCAACAGTGTGTAGAGAATTCTGTGCCTAAGGTTGTTGTTGAAAAGCAGAGATCTTGATGGAGAACAATTGTGAGGGTGCTGCTAGCTCCATGATACTGGTAGCAAAAAGCTAATGGCATTGGGAGGCCGAGGTGGGAGGATCGTTTGAGCTCAGGAGTTCGAGACCAGCCTGAGCAAGAGCGAGACTCCATCTCTACTAGAAAAATAGAAAGAAATTAGCTGGACAACTAAAAACTATATATATTATATTATGTAAAATAGCTGGGCATGGTGGCGCATGCCTGTAGTCCCAGCTACTCAGGAAGCTGAGGCAGGAGGATCACTTGAGTCCAGGAGTTTGAGGTTGCTGTGAGCTAGGCTGACACCATGGCACTCTCCAGCAAAATAACTCGTCTCAAAAAAAAAAAAAAAAAAAAGCCAAATGGCAAAGCCTCCAGAAGTTTACCAGGGAGAACCAGAGAAAGAAAAAGCCAAGAAAAAAAGCCTAGAATCATGATCAACACTGAGGGCTGGGAAGGCTGTGTGCCTGTACTAGGCTGTACCCACTCAGGTACAATCAGAGCAGGGTGTGGGGCTTGGCTTGAAAGTATTCCCCAGGCTACACATAGATCCACTAACAAGGGATCTCAGAAGAAATCAGAGAGGGAGCTTTTAAGTCACTAGTCCTTCACTGAATGTGAGGCAAAAACATAAGTCCCCTGAATTGTGACAGCTGTGTCAAAATCCCACACATACATGCCACAGTAAAGGATAAAATGTCTAAATAGCTAAAGGCAATAAGCACAATCTTTGATTAATAAGTCAGCTAACTCAGTGGCAACACCTAGGGAGTTAGGCTAAAAGATAAAAATAAGGGGAAAAAAATCTGAGCAACGACATCAGAGGCTGCACACTGCAAGGGAAATAGACTTCAAAGAGCTACTGTAGCCAAGTCACTAAATAAATAAACAAATTACCAAGCAAACATCATTAACCCCTAAGGGGAAGGAGGGACCAGTATCCAGGGCTGTACAATATATTATCTAAAATGTCCAGTTTTTGACAAAAAATTATGAAATATGCAAAGAATGTGTAAATTGTGACCCATTCACAAGAAAAAAAGCAGGCAATAGAAACTGCCTGTGAGGGGCTGAGATGTTGGCCTTAGCAAAGACTCCAAAGCAGCTATTATAAATATATAATTTTAGAGACCTTGTCTCTAAAAAAGAAAAAAGAAACCCAAGTTTAAAAGTATAACAAACAAAAAATGTACTTGAGGGGTTTCCATTTGAGTTGGCAAAAGGAAATTAGCAAACTTAAAGAGAGATCAGTAGGGATCATGCAATCATAAAAATTGGGAGAAAAAAGAATGAAGAAAAATGAACAAAGCCTCAGAGAAATGTGCGATACCATCACGTAGACATACATATAATGGAAGCACCAGAAGGAAAGAAGAGAAAGAAAGGGGTAGAAAAATAATTCAAGGAAATAATGACTGAAAGTTCCCCAAATTTGGTGCAAAACACTCACGTACACATTTGAGAAGCTCAGAAAACTCTGGGTAGGATAAATACAAAGAGATCCATACCAACATCATAGTAAAAACATTGAAAACCAAAGATAAATGGAAAATCTTGAAAGCAGTAAGAGAAAAATGACATCATGTCATATTGGAACTCCAATAAGCTTAACAGCTGACTTCCCATCAGAAAAAATGGAGGCCAGAAGAATGAGATGACTTACTCAAAGTGCTGAAAGTAGAAAACTATCAACCAAGAATCTTATAGCTAGCAAACTTTTTTGAAATGAAGGCAAAAAAAAAAAAAAAAAAAAAGGAAGTAATAAAAAGGAGACAAAGACATTCCTAGATTAAAAAAAAAAAAAAAAAAGCTGGCAGCGTTCACTGCTAGCAGACCTGCCTTACAGGAAATATTAAACTAAAAGGAAGTTGTTAGCTGGGAATGGTGGCTCATGCCTATAATCCTAGCACTTTGGGAGGCTAAGGTGGGAGGATCACTTAAGACAAGGAGTTCAAGACTAGCTTGAGCAACATGGTGAGATACTTTCTCTACAAAAAATAGAAAAATTAGCCAGGCATGGTGGCATATTTCTGTAGTCCCAGCTACTTGGGAGGCTGAGGTGGAAGGATCACTTGAGCCAAGGATTTAAGGTTGCAGTAAACTATGATGTCACTACTGCATTCTAGCTTTGGCAACAGAGCGAAACTCTGTCTCCAAAAAAAAAAAAAAAAAAAGATGTCAATACTACCCAAAGTGATCTATCTACAGGTTCAACACAATCCCTATCAAAATCTCAACCACTTTTTTTGCAGAAATGGAAGAGCCAATCTTCAAATTCATATAGAATGGCAAAGGGCCCAGAAAAGCCAAAACAATCTTGAAAAAGAAGAATGGAAGACTCATACTTTCTGACTTAGAAATTTACTACAGGCTGGGCGCGGTGGCTCACACCTGTAATTCTAGCACTCTGGGAGGCCGAGGCGGGCGGATTGCTCAAGGTCAGGAGTTCAAAACCAGCTTGAACAAGAGTGAGACCCTGTCTCTACTATAAATAGAACGAAATTAATTGGCCAACTAGTCTATATAGAAAAAATCAGCTGAGCATGGTGGCGCATGCCTGTAGTCCCAGCTACTCAGGAGGCTGAGGCAGTAGGATTACTTGAGCCCAGGAGTTTGAGGTTGCTGTGAGCTAGGCTGACGCCATGGCACTCACTCTAGCCTGGGCAACAAAGCAAGACTCTGTTTCAAAAAAAAAACAAACATAACAAAACAGTATTATACTGACATAAGGACAGACATATAGACCAATGCAATAGAATAGAGAGCCCAGAAATAAACCTTCACATATGATTCAACTGATTTTTTACCAAGGCTGCCAAGACTATTCGATAGGGAAAGGACTGTTTTTTCAACAAAAGGCACTGGGAAAACCGGATATCACATGCAAAATAATGAAGTTGGACCTTTACCTTGCACCATATAAAAAAATGAACTCAAAATGGATCAATGTCCCAATTAAGAACTAAAACCATAAACTCTTAGAAGAAAACATTTGGGGAAAATCTTGATATTGGATTTAGCAATGATTTTATGGGTATGACACCAAAAGTGCAGGCAACAAAAGAAAAAATAAATTGAAAAATATCAAAATTAAGAAATTTTGTGCATCAAAGGATACTATTAAAGAATGAAAAGATAACCTACCGAATAGAAGAAAATGTTTGCCATCATACATCTGATAAGGGATTAATATCCAGAATATATAAAGAACTTCTAAAACTCAACAACAAAATAGTCAAACAACCCAAGTAAAACACAGGAAAAGGACTTGAATAGATAGTTCTGCAAAGATATACAAATGGCCAATAAGCATATAAAAATATGCTCAATATCATTAGTCATTAGGGAATGACATGAAAACTATTTTCATTTAAATATGAAAATCAAAACCACGATTAGATAACATTTCAGATCTACTGGTATGGCTATAATTAAAATAAATGAATAGAAAAGAAAATAACAAGTGCTGACCAGGATATAGAGAAATTGGAATCCTGGTACATTGCTGGTGGGAATGTAAAATGGTGTAGCCTCTGTGGAAAAGTTTTTTGGCTTCTCAAAAGGTTAAACATAAAACTGCCACATGACCCATATGATCCAATGTCAATTCTAGATAAATATCCAAAAGAACTGAAAGCAGGAACTTGAACAGATATTTGTATACCAGTGTTCATAGCAACATTATTCACAATAGCCAAAAGGTAGAAACAAGGCAAGTGTTCATCAATAGATGAATGATTAAACAAAAGTGGTATATACATACAATGGAATATTATTCAGCCATAAAAAGGAATGAAATTTTGATATATACTGCAACATGAATGGACTTTGAAAACATTATGCTTAGTTAATAAGCCAGACATAGTAAAAAGAAATGCTGTCTAATTCTACTTAAGTGAGGTACCTAGAATAGGCAAATTCATAAAGACAGAAAGTAAAATAGAGCTTGGTAGGGACTAAGGGGAGACAGAAAGAGGTAGTTATTATTTAATGGGTACAGAGACTATGGGTGATAAGAAAGCTTTGGGGTTGGTCCGAGTGCAGTGGTGTTTACAACTAATTGATCACAACCAGTTACAGATTCCTTTGTTCCTTCTCCACTCCCACTGCTTCACTTGACCAGCTTGAAAAAAAAAAGAGGTTGGGCGCAGTGGCTCACGCCTGTAATCCTAGCACTCTGGGAGGCCCAGGTGGGCGGATCGCTGAAGGTCAGGAGTCTGAAACCAGCTCTGAGCAAGAGTGAGACCCCACCTCTACTAAAAATAGAAAGAAATTGGCCAACTAAAAATATATACAAAAAGAAAAATTAGCCGGGCATGGTGGCACATATATAGTCCCAGCTACCTGTGAGGCTGAGGCAGAAGAATTGTTTGAGCCCAGGAGTTTGAGGATGCTGTGAGCTAGGCTGATGCCACAGCACTTGAGTGTGGGCAACAGAGCAAGACTCTGTCTCAAAAAAAAAAAAAAAAAAGAAAGCTTTGGGTATAGTATAGATAAATGTGTGATGATTATAAAACACTGCAAATATATTTAATGTCACTGAATTATATACTTACAAATGGCTAAAATAATAGATGTTATGTATATTTTACCACAGTAAAAAATATTAATCATTAATTTACCATATGACCCAGCCTTGGCTTCTCAAAGTGCTAGGATTACAGGCATGAGCCACCATGCCTTGTCTGATTAACCATGCTTTTTATGTCCTTCATTAGTATAAATAGTGGACGGTATGTATTTTACCTAGCATAATGAATTTCTGTACTTCTATTCCCAAATTTAAGGGGAAGATAAAAATAACAAAGTGTAGAATTTGTGAATCATTTTGAGTCATTTTACCAGTGAGCAGTTCTATCCATGTTTGGACGGTTTCTGTGGGTTCAGTTGCTTTGATGTGTTTGAGAGTTTCATCCAGCAAAACGTCACCTGTTGGGCTGTCTGACTTTAGCAGTACCTTTGAGGAAAGAAGAAAGAAGGGACCTTGATTCATTCACTTCATTCAAGTTAAAATCTTTCAATATATCATATATACATTACTGGCAAGTATTGCAGGACATGTAAAGAAGCATAATATACTGTCCTTGCCCTCAAGAAGTTTAAAATCTAGAATGGGGTGACAGTAAAAAGATAAAAGCAATATTTGAAGTGGGCGCTAGTGACAAACTGGATATGAATGCTAATGGAGAATATATTCAATAATAACTCTTTCAGTCTGGATAATCAACTTTTGAAGCCATTATAAAGGCAGGAAGCCAGTTTTTGGGAAAGGTTGGTAAGTTTGGTTTTAACTGATATGGGATAGCTAAGTTGAAATGTCTAGTCAATAGTTAAATGAGTTCAAGTTCCTAGAGGTATAAAAAGAAGACATACCTAGAAATTTGGGAGTTAATCTCATTGAGCTGACAAGTGAAGCTGTAAAGGTAAATGATATCTCTAAAGACAAAAAAAATCACTGAAAGGAATATAAACTGAGACTTGGGTGTTAAGGAATGGAGAAGTAAAGGAAATAGGGTACAGTCAGAGAAGAAAGAGAATATGATACAACAAAGGCCAAAAATGGAGAAAATTTCAAGTGCAAGGAGGTGATCAAAAGTATCAAGTGCCACATATAGGTTAAAAGAGAAAAATAAAGTGAAGATTGAAAAGCAGCTGATGATACCTAAGAATCATTTCAGTAGAGTACTTAGGAGGACAGAGAAGTTATGAGTGGACAAAATGAGTAAGAAAATGGATACAGGAGTATAGATAGTTGGAGAGGACTTGCAGTAAATGGAAAGAGAGAAATTGAATAGTTATTGAAGAATAACCAGGGTTAATCGAAGACTGACCTGATCCATAAGATTACCTATATAATACTCTATTTCATAATATTATAGCTATAGATATAGAGGGAGTTTAATCAACAGCACTAAATGTGATTCTTCTGGACAGAAAAGGAAGACAAAACCATGAACTTCCTATAACTATTTTATTTTATTCTATTTAATTTATAATGGGTGGGAGGTTGTGAAGAGGTGTGCTCAGTTGCTTCGTTTTGGTTGAGACAGTCTCACTCTGCTGCCCTGGGTAGAGTACAGTGGCGTCACTGTAGCTCACTGTAATCTCCAACTCCTGGGATCTAAGTGACTCTTCTGCCTCAGCCTCCCAGGTATCTGGGACTACAGGTGCCACAACACCTGGCTGGGTTTTTTTTCCTTTCTTTTTGGTAGAGACAAGGTCTCACTCTTGGTCAGGCTAGTCTCAAACTCCTGAGCTTAAGCAATCCTCCCGCCTCGGCCTCCCAGAGTGCTAGGATTACAGGCATGAGCCACTGTGCACCCGGTCCCTATAACTCTTTAGACTATGGATACTACTCCCTCTGCTATAGGATAATTAAGTCTGTTTAGACAATGGGACTGCTGATTCAGTGATATTTATCTTGTCTCACTACTCAAATATTCCTATTCTTCCAAAATGTACTGTTGGTATTTGCCTATCCATAAATTAAGAGGACATTCAAAGAGGATGTTCATACCTTTCTGTCTAATAGTCGCTTCTTACGCATGGTGGGGGGTTCAAGATAGATTCGACCCCGCATAGCCAGCTCTATCAGGATGCCCCCTCGTAGGCCAGATGATATGCAGTCATTCCAGAAAGATGTGTAACCCTAGGAAAGAGGAAAAGCGAAGGGAAAGAATGTTCTGAAAAGGATACTGATTTCCAGCAGGCACCCTAAGAACGGGCTACTTTGTTGTGATGCATTTCAAGTCACACTATATAAACTCAAAGTATAGAATAAGAGAAAAAAATGTTTTTTAAGGCTCTTAACACCCCAAAATATGACTTTCTGACTTCAAGCTCTTTGGTGAATTCCTATGGTTTGGCTGTTAAGTTAATAATCAGCATACCAATTTTTTTTTTTTTTTGTGAGACAGTCTCACTTTATTGCCCATGCTAGTGAGTGCCGTGGCATCAGCCTAGCTCACAGCAACCTCAAACTTCTGAGCTCAAGCAATCATCCTGCCTCAGCCTCCCAAGTAGCTGGGACTACAGGCATGTGCCACCATGCCTGGCTAATTTTTTCTATATATATTATTTGGCCAATTAATTTCTTTCTATTTATAGTAGAGATGGGGTCTCACTCTTGCTCAGGCTGGTCTCAAACTCCTAAGCTCAAATGATCTGCCCGCCTCGGCCTCCCAGAGAGCTAGGATTACAGGTGTGAGCCACCGTGCCCGGCCGAGCATGCCAAATTTTAATTTTTGATAAGAATTTTGGCTTTTTTGAAGTCTCTTTCCCATGACTCTAAATTTTAGAGTGGGGTAAGAGTAAGACAAGTAGAAAAAAGTATAAACCATTTGAGTCTTTTATTCCTCCTAGATATGTATTAATTGGAAGCTATTTTGATGGGAGATATAGTAGAAAACCACTGTAGTTAAGTGCCTTAGGTACACTACTTAACCTTTCTCAAGTACCATGTCCTCATCTGTAAAATGCAGACATTAGTTAGTATCTATTTCCAGAAGTTTGTTGTTAGGATTAAATGAGATGAAATATATGACAAAGCATTTGGTATATTGCCTGGCATACAGTAGGCAGTAAAATGTTAATTTCCCTTCCCTAAAGCTATAGGGAATATACAAACACATATATGAGAGCCACTGTCTTAAGGAGCTGAAAATCTTGCTGGAAAGACCATGTAAACTCGAGGAAAGTTCTATGACAATATAACATTTAAATAAAAGCTCAACTGAAAACATAGAAGAGATTGTCATAATTAATTATTAAAAGTTTGGTTTGAATGACAGTTTTTCGAATTAAAAATCACTTTAGGGCTACAGTAGTCAGGAACCTGTAAGGGACTTGAGATGAGGTTTGAAGGATAAGTTGAATTTGGCAGACAGGGAGGGTTTTCCAGATGAAAGAAATCATTCAAATTCTACCTTTTCTTCAAAGGGCATTCTAAGCAAAAGTGTTAGGAGAGAGACCTCATATACATTATACAGATTTAACTCAAGGTTTTAAAGAGAAACCATGAGATCAAGTTGGTTAGGGTCAGGCTATGGAAAGTCTTGATGCTTTGGGTTTTTTAGTGAAAGGCAATAGGGAATTCTAAATGTTCTGAGCAAGGAGTTATGATGAACATAATGAAGACCCACCAGACTTACTAGAACTGTTCAATACTCTTCAATCTTTGGCTGTAGCATTCCTCTCACTGGAGAGAAACTAGGTGAGATGGTGGCAGGGAGGTTCTAGCATGGCTTTACACATCAGCAGAGTTGAACTAAATAATTACTATTAATAGCAGTAATGACTAAGATTTATTGAATACTTAGTATGTACTAGATTTGTGTTAAGCTTTATTACATGCATTATCTAATTATATCTTCATAATAACCCTATAAGGGAGGTACTACTATTATCCACACATCAAAGATGAGAAAGCTAAGGCATATAGAGGTTATAACATAGCATAGAGAGGTCACAAAGCTAAGTAAAATAATTTTTTATTTAAAAATTTTTAAATTTCATTTTTTATTTTTATTGGCTTGGAAGTTATGCATTCTTCTCTTTTAGAAGTTACCCTTGAAATTTTAACATGCATGATCATTAATTTAAAATTAATAAAATCTAAATTTTAAAAAGTAATCAATATTTTAACCATCCATTCTCCTACTTGTCCAATATTTTATCTTTTTATTACCTTACAAATTAGATATCATCATCATTATTATTTTATACAGGTAGCACTTGTTTAGATTTATACAGATGCTTACCAATTTCTTTGCTCACCGTTCCTCCTTGCATCTTAGACCTCCTTTCTGGTATCATTTTCCTTCTTCCTAAAGTAGAATTTCCTTAAGTGAAAATCTGTTGGAGGCAAACTCTAATTTGTTTATCTAAAATATCTTTGTTTCACTCTCATTCTTTTTTTTTAATTTTCTTTTTCTTTTTTTTAAATTTGACATCCTACCATTGAAATACTATCATTCTTGAAAGATACTTTCTCTGGACATAAAATTCTAGGTTAACGGTTTTCTCTTATGTTGAAGTATGCCCTCCTTTTGTAGCTTCCAATGTTGCAGTGAGAAATTTATCATTCTTATTGATTGTGGTTTCTTTGTAAGCGATGTGGTCCTTTAAAATCTTCTGTCTTGGTGTTTTGCAGTTTGGCTACAACATGACTGTGATTTATTTATTCTGTTTGGTATATGTTGTGCTTCTTGTATCTGTGAGTTCATTTCTTAGTTATCAAAAATTCTCAGCTCTTATCTATAAGAATTCTGGCTTTCCTCTATTTTCTTTATTCTTTCCTTTCAAGGATTTCAGTGTTTCTTATTTTAACCCACATGTCTTTTAATTTCTTCTTTATATTTTCCAGTTGCTTATTCTCTATATTGCTTTCTGGAGAGTTTTTTTTTTTTATTATTTTGAGACAGAGTCTTGCTCTGTTGCCCAGGCCACAGTGCTGTGGTGTCAGATTAGCTCACAGCAACCTCAAACTCCTGGGCTCAAGCAATCCTCCTGCCTCAGCCTCCCAAGCAGCTGGAACTACAGGCATGTGCCATCATGCCTGGCTAATTTTTTCTATATATTTTTAGTTGTCCAGCTAATTTTTTTTCTAATTTTAGTATAGACGGGGTCTCACTCTTGCTCAGGCCGGTCTTGAACTCCTGAGCTCAAATGATCCACCCACTTCAGCCTCCCAGAGTGCTAGGATTATAGGTGTGGCCAACCGTGTCTGACCTCTGGGGAGTTTTTAATAAAAATATCTGGCTTCTAATTTACTAATTCTTTCTTCCTGTATATCAAATATGTTAAACTATCCCTGAGATTAAGATTTCAACAATTTTTCATTTGTAAAGTTCTATTTAGTTATTTTTCACATTTGCCTGGTTATTTGTGATCATTTTTTTGATATTCATTTTGTGATTCATTTCTTTAAAAATGTCATAGATATTTTATACTGTATGATTATTTTAATATCTGATAATATTTGAGGGCTGTGATATCTGATAATATCTGAAGACCTGTTATTTGTTATTTCTGTTGATTCTTTCTCAAGTTTGTTTGTATGTTTTATTTTCTACTGTATGATTATTTTAATATCTGATAATATATGAGGGCTGTGATACCTGATAATATCTGAGGACCTGTTGTTTGTTATTTCTGTTGATTCTTTCTCAAGTTTGTTTGTATGTTTGATGATCTTTATTTTATATATGTATATTTTTTTTGAGACAGGGTCTCTTGCTCTGTTGCCCTTGCTTAAATACAGTTGCATCATCATAGCTCACTGCAACCTCAACTCCCGGGCTCAAAACAATCCTCCTGCACTATAGGTGCATGCCACCATGCCCAGCTAATATTTCTATTTTTTGTAGAGAAGGTGTCTCACTTCTGCTTAGGCTGGTCTTGAACTTCTGACGTCAAACAATCCTCTTACCTCAGTCTCTCAAAGTGCTAGGATTACAGGTGTGAGCCACTCTGCCTGGCCTATTTTTTTATTTTTTTAAAGGAAGGGTCTTGCTATGTTTGTCCAGACTAGTTTTGAACTCCTAGGCTCAAGCAATCAATCCTCTTGCCTCAGCCTCCCGAATAGCTGCGATTACAGGTGCATGCCACTATACCTGGCTTGTTTGATGATCTTTGATTATTAAGAGGTTCACATTTAATTTTTTGTGAATCTGTGACATTCTGGAGGCCTAAACTGAGAATATCTTCCTCCAGAGGGGAAGACTTGCATTTGTTTCTGCTGAGAGCCAAGTATGGGAAGATTAGGAGAGTGCCACACAACTGGGGACTACATTTAAACCTAGTTTCCCCAATTTACCTCAACCCCAGAGTTTATTCTTGACTGTTCAATTCCTGAATCTCAAGACTGATTTGTTAATTTGTCCCAGTACAATCTGGTTTTCATGTTTGCTTATTGCTCACCTCTTGGATTTTAATTCTGGTGTTTGTTTGAGCACCCTTGAAAATTATCTCTACTTTTCAAGGCTCAATAAATAATAAATTGAAAATTAAGCTTATTCAAGACTTACTATGTGACCACCATACTGCCTCCAATTCCATTTTTCCCCCTCTATACCCAGGGTGATCCTTAAGCTCAACTGTAATTATTTAACTCCTTTCCCATGCTTAAAAAACTTTCAGATGCTCTTCCTGACCTTCAGGATTGAGTCAGAATGGCTTAGTATAGCACTGAAACTGGCAGTTGCTTACTAGTCTCCTCTTTGGTCTTTCCCCCCTAGAATACTATGTTCTGGCTATGCTGAACTATTTTAAGGGCTCTTAATGCAGCATTTTTGCCTATTGGCTTTTGTATACACTGCCTTCTCTATCCAGAGGAACCAATACTTTTCTTTCCCCAACTCCTTCTTGTACTTAAAGAATTGAGTACAAGGGTCACATCTTCCATGTAACCCTCTCTAACATTGTTTTCTACTTCACTCCACACTCTGATTAGGTTCCTCACCTGGGTGTGCCTTCTCTCATATCATCTATTATATCACACTGTCCTCACCAGAGGATAAATTCCTTAAGGAGCAAATATCCCTTATGACTGACAGCATCTACTTAGTAAATATTTCTTGAATGCTTGAAAGTAAATATGTTAATCTGGAAAAAGCTCAGCTTGAATCATAAATATCCCTTAGACATCTC